TGTTTTTACGATGTTTGACCGACGATAAAGCAAACGGATCCCTGTCCGCACTCAAATTATTTTTAGAAAAAAAAAAAATTACATATTCTGAAACGTTATTAAACCCGCTACAAAACCAATTCAAACTAACTCAAGTTTTTATGTATAAAGTAAGAGATTAAGTGTGATTTGTGTTGACCAAGTGAATAGTAAATATATCTTATAAAATGGGACAAAGGTGAATTGTTGTAGACATTTTTTAAAATTGTAGTGATTAAAATATTTATAACATTGATTAAAATAGTACGTAGTGACTGATGGAATAATAGTTGTGATGCCTATTATATTAGGCGACGATCATTTGGGATAAAAAAATTAATGAGTGGAGTCCATGTCCATGTGAAATTAAAATTAATGCTGCATAAGTACTACGTATTTTATAATAATAGAAGTTTCCAACTGGTATGAAATATTTTTTTACTGTGAAATGTAGCTTGATTTTACCTTACAGATTTGAAAGGTTTCTTCAACAAGAAATTTCCACGTTCTCATCTTTTTATTTTGAGCGTGAAGTCATCACTAGAAGAAAGAGACCTGCCCGGAACGATGACATTGGTGAGGATTTATACGAAAATGTAGTTTCCATTTTCAATTACCCAGGTAGAGGTAAAGGAGCTACGACACACCGAAATCTTACCGTTTTACTAGAATTACTGTTTGAATTCATGCAAGAAACGCACCTTCTGGACCTAACACCTCCATCTGAGCACGGAATTGTTCAAATGCATGAAGAACAACGATCTGCTCAATATCAGGAAGAAGGAGAATAGATAGACGGTTCTGATACAGAAGAAGACGTTGTATATGTAGAAAATAACGATTCTGACAGCGAGTAATTGTGTTGTTGTAATTTCAATTTTTTTGACTCCAAATATTTGTGCTCTTTTCTTCATCATTACTACGTATATTACTCCAACAATATTTGATTTTTTTTCTTCATCATTATTATTTGTGAATTAAAAATTACTCCATATTAATTCAACAACAACAACTTTTTTATATCCATATTATAAATTCAAAATGTACTTTTAATAATTCAAAGTTAGAAATTCAAAATTAAAATTTCCATAATTCGAAATTTAAAATTACTCCATATTATATCCATAAAAAAATTTCGAAAAAAAAAATTGACCGGGTTAGTCACGGATAAATCCGTGACTAAATCCGTGACTAAATTCAAATTTTGAATTTAGTCACGGCATTAGTCACGGATTTATCCGTGACTAACCCGGTCAATGGCGGCCCTGACACCGCGTGGCTGGATTCGGGGATTACGAAGGGTTTAGTCACGGAAATATCCGTGACTAAATCCGTGACTAATCCCTTATATAAAATAAACCCTTGGCGAATTTTTCATTCCAAACACTCTCCCAACCCTAAAACTCTCCCTCTATCTCTACTTCTTCTCTCTGTCCGCCGAACCCTTTGACCTCCACCACCGCTTTCACCGTCCGTCGCCACCGTCCGTCGCCGGTCTCCGTTAGCTACCTCCGTCGAAGACTCTTCGCCGTCCTCTTCGTCAAGGTTATGTGTTCTAAATTTCAATTACTTTTCATTCTTATTTTTAGTATTTGATTTTCATTCCAAAAATGCATGTTATTATTAAAGTGCATGCTCTTTTGTTGAAATACAAAAGATTATGAATGATTCTTTAGTTTTGTATACATGTTTTGTGTAGTAATATGATTTAATATGTTTTAGTTTATATTTTTCTTTAATATTCGAAATATAATTTTTGAAATACATGTTTAATATTAAATTTCGAAATACGATTTAGTTTATACTTTTCTTTAGTTGGTATACATGTTTAATATAATTTAGTTTATTACATGTTTTATATGTTCAATAATTTTAATATGTATGCCAAAATATGATTTAATTTTAGGTTAAACAACATGCATGATTATTCAAACCTTTTTTATTTTTTTTTATTTCGGCCTTATGTGTTTCTTTTATTCTTGAATTATGTTAGGTTAGTTTGGACTAATTTTTAGACTTAGAATGAAGCATGCTAAATAGAAATATTTGGACATTGTTAGTATTATTGTTTTTTATCATCTATCAAAATTATTATTCCCGAATTATTTAAAAAAATACCCCCTCATGTCAAACTTCCAAAAAAGTTTAACATGTTAATTATAAAATATTAATTTAGACATTAAAAACAGTTTTCTGAAATAAAATATAAAATATAGATTATAAAAAAACAGTTTAATAAAAAAAAAGTTTTTGTTAAACTGCTTAATAAAAAACGGGTTTTTATTAAAAAGTGTTTAATAAACTGTTTTTTATTAAAAAGAGTGTAATAAACAGTTTTTTATTAAACAGTTTAAAAAAGTGTTTATTAAAGACATTAAAAAACAGTTTTTAAAAAGTTTAAACTGTTTTTTTTATTAGAAAGTGTTTAAACAGTTTAAAAAAAGTTTTAAAAATGTTTAAACTGTGTTTTATTAAAAACTGTTTTTATTAAACAGTTTTAAAAAAGTTTAAACAGTTTTAAAATAGTTTTTCTACGAACAGTTCAATTGAAATATTTTTAACAACAATTTTTTTAAGAAAAATTAAAATAAGTTTTAATTTTGGTTTTTAAAAAATAGATTTTTTTTTAAAAAAACAAAGCATTTAGTCACGGATCTGAGCCGTGACTAATTTTTTAGTCCGGAATTATTTGTTAAATTTAAAATTTATTTTTTTTAAAAAAAAAATTTAGTCACGGATTCATGACCGTGACTAATATGAAATTTCAAAACATTGAAAAAAGGAAACGCGGGTTTTTGAAAATTTCAAAAATTTGAAAACTTAGTCACGGATATTTCCGTGACTAATATGGCCGATTTAAAAAAAAAAAAAATACTTAGTCACGGACGTGTCCGTGACTAATATAAAAAATTTTTTAAAAAATGTAGTCACGGATCTTAGCCGTGACTAAAGTGCCGGAGCAGCTATTCCGGTGACAGATTAGTCACGGATCTGGTCCGTGACTAATCCGTGACTACATTTAGTCACGGACAATTTGACGTGACTAAATTTAGTCACGCCCAAACAGTCACGGAATTAGTCACGGACAGAATCCGTGACTAAATGAGTTAGTCACGGATTTTTTACACTGTGGTCCGTGACTAAATCCGTGACTACAGCCGAATTTTTTTGTAGTGGTAGTTCTGACCTGATCATTTGTGTGTCAGTGTGTATTGTCAAGACACTAATTATCACTTAAACGTGTTCAAACACAAAATAGTACGAAGTACTAGTAATAAGATATGTATGACAACTAAAACAAGAGAATTTTCTATATAGGAGTAAAAACTTTTTGAAATTCCAAAATAGGAGTATCATGTTTTTTATTCCCTAAATAAGAGTAAATTTCTGCCAAGTTTGGCATTACAAGGCTTTAAACATGACATTTTTTTCCAAACTTGGCAGATTACTTCTATTCAGGGAATAAAAAGTATGATACTCCTATTTTGGAATTTCAAAACGTTTTTACTCCTATTTAGGGCAATTTCTGCTAAAACAACGGACAAATATGAGAGTAGTGTTATTTTCGCAATATCTATAACGACTTCAACAGATAATTTAACATTGTAGTTATAATTATACTATTCTTACAATGATTATAATGATACCGTATTTTTAAATTTTTCCCATGAATTCTATTTTACTAATTTATACGATAAGCCATATGTCTATATAAATTATCCAAATCACGATTGGGTACTGTATAAAATTCAACATCCTTGTAAAATTATAAAATATGATTGATGGTGTGTATAAATTAGTGTATTCAGGGACGGATCCAGGATTTCTATTCAAGGGGGGCGAAATTTTTCGGTAGTGTAGGGGGTGAAAAAAATTTCGTTAGTGTAGTGGGGCGAAATTTTTTCCCTAGTGTAGCGGGGCGAATTTTTTCCGCTACTATAAAGCTATGCGGCTAATTTTATTCAAAAAAATGACATTAATACATACACATCTCCAACGACATTTAAATCTATTAAGTAGTACATTCTAAGTTTAAATTAGACGATGACAAAGACATCAACCAATACATTTTTAATAACTTCTACATTGTTTAACCTCATAAATTGGTTATTATTGAATTGTAATTTTTGTCCGGCCACCAAGGAGGGTGTTCGTGAGTCATGACTCATGAGAAGTTTTCTTAATATTACAATAGTACGTAGTATGTATGATATTATTATTTTTAGAATAATATGCACCACACACACACACATATATGGTGCATATTATATTTTAATATTTGTATTAATGCTATAATAATTTAACGTTTATTATCTATGCAATAAATTATTTTTAGAAAACAAGAAGTAAATGAATTATGTAATTTAATGTCAATAAACATTTATATTTTGGATTCATTTCACGTGATCTAAAAACTGTGTAATTAGTGTGTCTGATATTTAATATTGTTTGATATATATTTTACAAAATCAAGTACTTGTTATCTAATAAAAATAATTAAACACTACAAAACTAGGAATTCTTATATAATAAGTATCCTAAATCTTAAACAACGAGTTATTCTATTGTTTATTTGTTTAAGTTATGTAATTATTTTAGATGTTTCTTCTTTTAAATCTTCAATTAAGTATTACATTATGTAACACTATATATTAATTTTGAAAATTAAAAGATAAGGGGGGCGAATCTAATTAAATTATGAAAGCTTTATGAAAATATTACATATATGGTAGAAAATTTTGAAAGTCCAAGGGGGCGGTCGCCCCCCCCCTAAATCCATCCTTAGAGGTATCTCTGTCCCGTCTTAGAGGTAATATAACAGTTACAAGAGCACTGAAAGTTTTTATGAATTGTTGTTTTCTTCTTGGATTGGATAAAAAAGCATCCTTATCCAATATGTCCATTTTGAACAAGAGACAGAACCATTTTGACCTCATTTTTGAACGTTAAATCGTTTGAGGTTTAGGTGGAGAAGCTTCTAACCCACTATGGTTCACAGTTTCTTTTCTTATTTATGCAAACTTTCCTTCATCAAACTATGAGGCTATGAGCCATTGAGATCACAAAGATGACAGAAAGGCGCCAAATTTCGGTTCCATTTGTTTGGGAAGAAAGACCTGGCATACCAAACAAGGATTGGAAACCTGCTAAATGTAAACCCTCAAATACCTCCAAGTTTGTTCCCCCAGAAAAGCTCATACCTTCAGTTCCCTTTCAGTGGGAGGACAAACCAGGAACACCCCTTTCAAGCATCCAGGTTCAGCCAAAGGGTAATTTCGTCATCATAACGAACAAGCCATTACTAACACTAGATGAGCTGATGACGATGAGCCGAAGAAGAAGCTATCAGAGAAAAGCTAACCAAATGCAGAAACAGAGTGTGCCTATGGTAATCTACTGTTTCATTTGTCATGCATGTCTTAGTTTCGACACTTGAATTTTTTGTAAGGGTCTGTTTGGATCCCATAAAATGTTAAGAAACAGGACAGAAAATACCTATAATCAGAAAGAAGGAAATTTTTTTATGGAGAATAAAGGAAAAACTCAAACACAATAGATTTATTTTAGATGATTTCTTAAACAGTTAAACCAGTGCTCCATATTTTTTTCTAATAAATAGACTGAGAAATTTAAATGTACATAAAAAAGTTCAACGAACATAGTCAGGATTTCATTTCTATGTAAAGCTAAACATAAAAGTTTGAACATTCGTTGGCATTTGTTCCCCTTTAGAGTTTTACTTGATCCGAACATACCCTATGACTGGAGTGCGGAACTTAGATTTCTAAGTCTTACTCAATAGAATTACATACATAAAATGAGTTTGAACAAATATTTAACTTATCAATAAATTTTAGATTCCCCCCGACATTTCTTCCCTACCAAACGGACCCTAAAAGTTTTGCACAACAGCTTATTACCTATACATTAAAAAACATGCAATCAGACATTCAGACCTGCATATTGCTTTTATCATTATTTATATTAAATACGGAGTATATGTGTATATGTCCACAAGGAAAGTACCAATACAATATTACAAATTACAACATAGAATAGCACATTTTTATAACATACTAGTACTACTCTCCTTTGTGGCAGAAGCAGAAACTCACAGGGAGTGCTCTTGGATGCTGTATGCTTGGAGTTTGAAGAAGAATTGAAGAATTGCACACCAAATGGAAGAGGGAGCTAAAGCTTTTCTCCAAATAGTCTGAAACATGGCTCAGTTTACTGAGCACCAAAAACTGGTTATTTGTGCATTGTAAATGAAAAAATACCATTTCCTATTACATCTGACTTTAATTTTTTTTGCACTTTTGGGGGCACGACTAATGCTCCAATGCTCCTTGCCAGTTATGGTACTTCTGATCACCCATCATTCAAATACATGAACAGAAAGGGCAAAAAAATGTATAAGGAAAGTCAGGGGCCAAAAGTGAAATACTTCCTAGGAGTTACCATATAGACCTTTACAGCATAAAAAGAAATCATTGAACACATTCGAGATTCTATTGTGCAATGAAATGTTGAGAACTACCAAGCTTGAGCCCATCCTGTCTACATCATCAATACAGGAATAAATGATAAACTATAAAAGCTAGCATAAAAAATATAATTTTCAATTAAATAATAAAAAATAAACGTAAAATAATTTAAGCTGGTGGTCTACAGCTTACGATTACTCTCCTTATCCTTTCTGCAACTAAAGGAACATCCTTCTCTTGTAACATCGTAAAGCAAAACCTGAACCATCCATGTTCGATGCAATGGCAAGCAGATCCAGGAGTCACATTTATCTTAGCCACACTTAATAACTTTTCCCATAACTCAATTTCCCCCTTTTCATTGTAAGGATTGATTAATGTACTCATGTTCACCCAACAATGCATACCTGTGTTGCTCTTCATGTATTCAATCCCCAGTTCATCTAACTGTGCAATAAACAATTTATACATTCTTCGCAACCTCTCTCTGTTTTCCTTTAGGTAATCCCGGATAAATCCAGTGTCTGATAGCATTGCGACTAGTAATCTCTGTGTTGGAACGGAAACTGACGAAAACCTAGTTAACCTTCTAGAAGCAGCTAGAACATTCTCGTTAAATGAATATATTAAGCCGACCCGGAAACCCGGAAGGCTAAAGTCTTTAGATAGTCCATATATGATATGAACCCTATCTCTGACGGAGTCTTCTTCTTCTAGAATTTCTGCCATGCTTACAAACTCTTTGTCACCGTAATTAGAGCCAGCAAATATTTCATCAGATATTATATGGATATTTTTCTCTCTAGCAAAATCTAATAGATTGTATAGCGATTCTCTAGTCATGAGGTTGCCGACAGGATTGGAAGGGTTGGAAAGGAGTATTCCACGAACTTTTTGACCCCGCTTTCTGGCATTGTTAAATGCTTGGTCAATAGCAGCCATGCTCAGTGTAAAGTCATCCGAACTACGACAATGTACAGGAATAAGTTCCACACCAGTCCTCCATCTAACATCCCTATCAAACCTGCAAATCGATCATCTATGTAAGGTTTAAGGTTCTTCTTTACACGAACAATCATTATTCTTTTTTTAGAAGAAAAAGTTCAAATATTAAATGCTCTGTCTCATTTAAATTGTAACTTTTAATATTCATTAGGTCAACCTAAAAACATTTATTTTTTGTGTCAAATTTAAACAAACCTGAATTTAAACTTTAGTGTAGTATCAGTGAAAACTTTAGTGTAGTATCTAAGTATGTAAACTTTAATTTCAAAAAAGATTTAACTTAAACTTGAAAATGAAGTAGGACACATAAAATGGGATGAATGAAGTAACATTTGTTAAAATAAAACTGAAACTAAACAGATATGAGTAGGTAGTAGTAGTACTGTAGTACCCTGGGTAATAGGGTGTAGGAACGAGGAAAGCACTCCCCGGATCAGCTAAGCAAAAGAATAACATCTCAATGGCAGGAGTTGCACCAGAAGTTAATACTATTTGTAATGGGTTAAATGAAACTGTTCTTCCCATTGCCTCAGACATGAAATCTGCCATGGCCTGAAAGGATTAAATATTCCATCACAATTGTATTCTCTAAAGATCATAACTTGTGAAATTTGAAGTGGAAACAACATGAAAAACTTTGTTAGCTAAAGGATCCAAGATCATTGACTGGAAAGCTTTGAGCTTTTTTTTCAAATTTTCAATTATAGAAATTACCACTTTCAGCTCCCACAGTCCATCGAACGGCTGGTAGGCAGAAATTCCGCTGATATTCAAGCCAATACTTCCAAGTGCAGAATCGCATAAGTTGTTCGAAAGCCACTTCTCAATCAAATCCAGCGACAACTTTGAACGGTAAAAGAAGGAAAAGAGCAGAAAACCATTAAATTTCGATACTAAAAGTTAAAAATGAGCAGAAAATGAATGTAGTAGCAATACGATACCCTATTCTCAGTTAATCCGAGATTTATAATCCCGTCTGGGTTATCGATTTCATCATACGGATCCTCCTGGAACCTCTCTAATCCAATATAGTAAGCAGAATCGTTGGGCTTTGCAATTGAGCTAGCGCGGGAGGAGATGTGGGTCCGCCCGATTGACCCGCGACCAGATAAGTTGAGCCGAGAAGATGTCCGTGGTAGTTCAACCAGGTCGGTGGACGAGTCGGACGGCGACGGAGGATTCGAAGCAGATGAAGATGGAACCGAACGGTGTCGTTTGATGTAGAACTGAAGAAAGTAGAAGAGGGCACAGCCGCACAGGGGATTAGCGAGCCGAAGATTAAGCCTCCTCTTCCTTGAACTACGCCTTGTAAGGGGACAATCAGTCTCATGCTGATGAACCCAGGAATTCCAACGCAAGTGATGAAGTGAAGATCAAATAAGGAAGAAGAAGAAGAAGAAGAAGAAAGAGAGATTATATTTTCTCCATTGGTTTAGTTCGGAGCCAGTGAAATTTGCGAGATTTTTGTGATTTAACGTTTCAATTAAATTTTCAATTTCAAATGCTCCGTAAATATCAAAATATCAAAATAAGAGAATAGGAGTATATGGATCCGGAGCCTTTACCTTACTTTAGAGTAAGGTAAAGTGTCTTGCTTCTTCCGGGTCGTCCGATCAACAATTCAACGGTCGGAGATCTTGGGCTCCACTTTTTCGCTAATCTCGAGGCCTGCTTTGCTACTGCCCGACCGTCCGATGCGCAAGGCACCGTCCTAGTCGGGCAGAGGATCCCAATCCGGAGTATATAGGAAGTATTTGAAATTACTCCCTGCTCTTCCAGATTAAATTCTCACTTTGATTTTTACAATCTTGTGAGTGAAAGTTTGACATTAAGTATCTAAAAACTACTCCTTCCGTCCCATTTTACTTGTCCTATTTTCTTTTTGGGTTGTCTTAAAATATGTATCTCATTTCCTTTTTTGGAAAGAAATATGTGGTTTACACCATTTTACTTTATTATACTCAAACATCAACCACAACTTTTACTTTTTCAATTACTTCATTAATAATCGTATGAAATCATACTAAGACACATAAAGTGGGACGGAGGTAGTCTTACTATAAAATATGTACTCCTTTCGTCACTTTGTTTCTTTTGGGCACAAATATTAAAAAAGTGTGGTAAAAAGATTCAAAAACCTTACTTTTATTGTTCATTAAAAAGAAGGAGTATAAATGATAATCCACTTTTAGTTCTTTACCAAAAAGGAAAACATGATCATCATTTTGGGGCGGAGGGAGTAATATATAATAAATTAACATTTGAAATTTTGAATGATATATATTATTATGAAATATATATATATAATTATTTTTTGTGATTAATGTAATGTAATGTAATGCTAAAGTTTATAATTAATGGTTAAAGTTTTTCTTTGAAAGCATAATGGTTAAAGTTTATAAAATTTGATTTAAAAATGAATACAGGAATTCAATTAGGGGCAAAGGAAGTATAACTTTCAAATATCATATCTTAACTGGATGTGTGACATAATGAAAATAGTGTATGGTCATGTTTCACAAAAGTTGACTGCTGCGCTCGATCAAAGAAGAGGCAGAGGGGCTTGGGCGTGGGTAGCCAGAGATCATCAGGGTGAATTCTTGACGGGGGGCTGTCGCACCATGCAAGCAAATTGGACAGCGACAATCTCTGAGGCTATTGGAATCCGAGAAACACTTGCGTGGATCAAAGAACAAAGATGGGAAAGAGTAAAACTGGAGACGGATTCTTTGTTGGTTGTTACAAGTATTATTGATCGAGAGGGAGACTCCTATTTTGATACCGTCATTGAAGATATTAGACACACTCTTCGCAAACGAAGCTAGTTTAGAAGTCATATATTGCAAACGATCCGTGAACAGGACAGCTCACTTGATGGCCTGGGCTGCCCTTTCTCTACCGGATGGTTATATTAGTTATGATTTTCCCCATGATAATATTGTACTCCATTTGGAGAATGCTAAATTGAATTAATAAAAACTAGTTTATCTCTCAAAAAAAGTTGACTGCTTGAGCCTTGAACAACTGAAGTATAGCTCAAAAAAATTGTTTTTTTTACGGAGAGCTTCACAAATTAACATATGGCCCGTATTCGTTCACAAATTATTAAAGTAGCTTCTATAATTGTTTAGATTCTTAGACCACATTCAAACAGAATTGCACTAAAAATATACGGAGTATACTTAATATAGTATAAAATAGTTCGTCTAATCAAATTCTTTTTAATACTCCCTCCGTCCCATTTTGGTTGTCCTACTTTCTTTTTTGGGTTGTCCCAAAATGAATGTCTTGTTTCCCGTTTTGGCAAGAAATATATGGTCTTTATAAATTTACATTATTCTACTCAAATCTCAACCACAACTTTTACTTTTCAACCACTTTATTAATAATCGTGCCAAATTGAAAGTGAACAAACAATATGGGACGGAGGTAGTAGTACATAAGATTTTTTTTTCAAGAGTTAAAAGGATAAAAGATTTGTGCCTACTAGATGTATATATGCATTGTACTCCGTTTTTTTTATGCATTGTATATAAAAAAAAATGCATTGTACTCCGTATATATAATTAGTCCGGACCTTTCCCCAACACTAGTGTTTAGTGATTTGTCTTATAAAACACTTGAAGAGTATGATCAATTTTTTATGTATCTTATATTATTATTATAAGTTGATTTTACTTACCTCCTTCATGTATAGTTGCAACATTAGAATGTTATGGTATTTAAGAGTAAATTAGTAGTAGTGAGTACGTAGATTATTTAAAATGTAGCAAATAGAATTAATAAATAATTAAATAAGTATACAAGAGGAAATGAAAAAGTATAGAATAGTTTGAATATTTAGATACTTTTAAATGAAAATTATATCAAAGTATTATAAATATATAAATATATCTGAATAAGATATATGTTGGAAAAGGTGTTATTATATTATCAATACATAACTATTTTAAAACTCAGAAATAATAATAATAATAATAATAATAATAATAATAATAATAATAATAATAATAATAATAATAATAATAATAATAATAATAATAATAATAATAATAATAATAATAATAATAATAATAATAATAATAATAATAATAATAATAATAATAATAATAATAATAATAATAATAATAATAATAATAATAATAATAAGAAGAAGAATGATTCCCATAAAACAATTCAATACATCCTGATAAATTAATTTTTTGAAGAATTGCACATACGCTTCATAAATTGACTACTCTGCCATGAAAATTTTAATATATACGGGGTAATGTTTTTTATACTTTAAAACAGAAGAAAGCAAGAAAAAAGACAAATCAAAATTATCACTCAATATGCATTAAAGTCTAAACAATATAATTACTTTAGAATAAAAATTGAACTAGAATATAATTAAAAACGAGGTTAGAGTCACTTTGTTGATTGAGTTGAATAATTTCGTTGAAGCGAACTATTTTAATGTTTTTCATATAATTATTCTTTAGTGTATTATTTTATTACTCCCTCCGTCCCATAATTATCTTCATTCTTTCCTTTTTGGTCCGTCCCAAATTTATCTCCTCTTTCCTTTTTTAGCAAAGGATTTGTGGTTCACAACTATTCTTACACATTTCTCTTTCCTCTGCACAACTCTCCACCACACATTTTCCATTTTCTTAATCTCCGTGTCCAGTCAAAACCGAAGTTAATTCTGGGACGGAGGGAGTAATAAAATATATTGTAGATGTAACATTTTATTATTAAATTATTTCCACAAGCATTTTATATTCAGTTTAAAAATTATTTAAGGGCATCAAACGGCCTCTAAATTAGGACATGTTGGCGTAGAGGAAGAAAAATGATTGGATTCTGATTCCATCTATGGAATCTAAATAGGAGCGATGACATGACAATTTTAATTGTCTTTTATCAATTTATATTTGCATAATAATTTAGAAATGAACGGAGTAAATTGGTTTGGGCCAACTTGACGAGTAAATACAACAATGACATTAGTACAACATGACTTGGTTTCAGGATATGTATTCACTGTCGGATACCCCATCAGGATAGAAACCTGGTGTCTTGGTGCTTTCATGCAGTGTAAATGCTTTTTTCATTATAGGGAGTTTCGAAAAGTATAAACAGAAATAAGAGTGATCTTTTTTTCTCGATTGGTAGAGTACAACATTTAGAAAAGCATACTTTAAATAAGAGTATATATTGTAAAAATCAATACTCCCTTAATATATACTCCCAATATGGTAAAACGGGACATTTAAAAGAGAACGGAAGGAGTATATATTAAGGGAGGACAGGATAGTCAGTCGACCCCCTGAGAATTTGAGTGTAGAGCTCTCTGAAATACCTTTGATTTGATATATTATGTACGTAGTATCTCGTAATTCATTACGAGTAAAATGTTATGACTTCTGAAAAACCAAGACTATCTAAGAATAAAACGAGTTAAAATTTAAATTGTAATATTGATTATATTCCCAGATTTTGAAAATTAACGTATAATTCACTCGTTACGTGACGTGACTTATAGAGAGAGTAAATACAACATATCTTACTCGTACAAGTGTCTACTCCATAGCCGAATCTTTTCTAATAAGAATCTTGATATTATGTGGGATGAGAGAAGAATGCACTAGGTCTCATCTGAGATAACAACTGACGCAGAACCCTTTCGATTATACTCATATAAAACAAGTTTACAATGTGTGTGTATCAAATATATATCTCTGTGAGTCTCATTTAAACTATTATGTTATTTATCTAAACTATATATAAAGCATTCATGTTATTTGTCTAAAATGAACCACCATTTTGTGGCTTAGCCGTTGTTTCCGAGCAACATTTTTTTTAATCAACTTCTTCATTTCAAGGAGCCAAAAAAGCAGCTGGTTGGAAACGCCATGTATTGCAGCTTTTGTTGTTGGCTGCTTCAACAATATTTGATTTTTACAATGTAACGTAATTTTCCTCATAAATTACGTTCGGAGTGCATTCTTTCCTTGGTGCCGTTTTTTGCAAACCCCTTGGTATTTTTTTAGGATAGCTTTTTATTTTATTATTTCTTTATATTTTATTTTACACCTATTGACTACTAAAATTAATAAATGTGAATAATTAATATTTAATTGCTTACAAAAATAAATCTATTAAGTTAACAAAAATCAATTAGAATCAATAAATAATTAATATTGTATCCTACCAATAAAAAAGAGTTGAAAGATCCTATTTTAGTCAATTATAATACTCAACACAATAATTATTATATGCTATTTATAATAATAACAATAATTGGTGACAAAATATTGTGTGTATATTAGGTCATGTCTTTAAATGCAAATTTACATGCTATCAAGTAAAAAAGAACGACTAAATTTATGAAATATTTTTCTGTAAAAATCTAATTCCATCGGTCAATCACACAACTATTACTATATATCAGCCGATCATACCGCTTAAAACAATCAGCTAG